CATCTCTCGCAGCAGTAGGAGGACGAGGAGGAGGACATTACCGCTTGCGACGTGCAGCGTAAAAATGGGAGTGGGAGAGTAGGGCCAGAGACGTGGAGGAGGATGAGGAGAGAGACGAGGCGGCGGCGACGACGACGACGGCGGCGGTGGTGGTGGCAGCAGCGGTAGCGGCGGCGGGGAGAGAGGAGAGAGAGGAGGAGGGAACGAGGCGGGAGATGGCGGCCGGGCCCGGCCCCCTCAGCCCGGCGCGGGCGGCGGTCACACGAACCCAGCCCGGCCCCCCTCGCTCGCTCGCTCGCTCCCAGCCCGGGGTGGTGGTTACCCCACCACAGCCTCAACCCCTCACGGCCAAACACTCGCAGCAGCAGCAGCAAGCCGCAACGACGAATGTGCTTGTTTTGTTTTTAGCCACCGTACGTACTCGAAACCAACCATAACCGCCGCCCCCGCTCACCACCAACACCACCACTCTACAGGGGGGAACGATTAATTCACAAAAGAGAGCGAATGATGAAGCTCGGAAACCCTTTAAGATTACGGGTGAAAGTTTTTTGGGTTGAAGCGTTCCCGCCGTCGGGTCCCCCGGGGCTGAGAAGGCCCGCGGCGGCATGCGGCGCTTTCTGCGTGGGGCCGTCCCCGCTGTTTTGATGTCAGATTTTGGGCTGCGGTTTGCGTTTTATTATTTGGCAGGCTGGTACCACAAATCCCACAGGGAATGGACGAGGCGATGTCCGTGTCGTTTCTGCGCGTGTATCTTTACGTGTCTTTAGCTGTGTAATTTGCGAGGCGATCGGCACTCTGATACCCCTTTGGCTGGCTGTCTTGCCTGTTAATTTGGATGTCTGATTATATCGTCAAGCCAGCCCCCCACCACAAGGGGTTTCTCCTTGACGTCTGGGGCTGTACGTTTATGTGTTTCACTGTCGTCTATCTGTATATGGTTGTATAAGAGGTCTGGATATACTGTACAGTATGGTCCGTATGCCTTGTGACCCCCCACCCCACCCCACAATTAATTTACCCCCAACATTTATTTCATTTACATATTAATTTATGTTTTAAATACAGCTTACTTAAAATATAACGGTTTTGGATGATCAAATGGAGGTCACAAGACGTCTAGATCAGCCTGTGCATGGGTCTGGACAAACCAGCCCTATCGAGTCCCCAAATGAAGATTCTGGATCCGACTTGTGGTCGTTTCTTTTCAAGCATTTGTCTGCATCTATTTACATGTTTGGCCGTCTGCCTGGCCGCTGTCGGCAGCGATTGATTGCATAACTGCATGGCCCCATGGAATCATATGGGCGACGGAGATGCTGTTGTTTTGTGTGACTGTTCACATTCTCTCGTTTGGCTCTCTTGATTTCATGTTTATCTGTATGGTTGTGTTTTTTTTTAGTTGGCTCGCTGTCTGTGCCTGTACGAAAATTTGGCAATCTACAGTGAGGGGAAAAAAGTATTTGATCCCCTGCTGATTTTGTACGTTTGCCCACTGACAAAGAAATGAGCAGTCTGTAATTTTAATGGTAGGTTTATTTGAACAGTGAGAGACAGAATAACAACAAAAAAACAGAAAAACGCATGTCAAAAATTTTATGAATTGATTTGCATTTTAATGAGGGAAATAAGTATTTGACCCCCTCTCAATCAGAAAGATTTCTGGCTCCCAGGTGTATTTTATACAGGTAACGAGCTGAGATTAGGAGCACACTCTTAAAGGGAGTGCTCCTAATCTCAGCTTGTTACCTGTATAAAAGACACCTGTCCACAGAAGCAATCAATCAGATTCCAAACCCTCCACCATGGCCAAGACCAAAGAGCTCTCCAAGGATGTCAGGGACAAGATTGTAGACCTACACAAGGCTGGAATGGGCTACAAGACCATTGCCAAGCAGCTTGGTGAGGTGACAATAGTTGGGGCGATTATTCGCAAATGGAAGAAACACAAAATAACTGTCAATCTCCCTCGGCCTGGGGCTCCATGCAAGATCTCACCTCGTGGAATTGCAATGATCATGAGAACAGTGAAGAATCAGCCCAGAACTACACGGGAGGCTCATGTCAATGATCTCAAGGCAGCTGGAACCATAGTCACCAAGAAAACAATTGGTAACACACTACGCCGTGAAGGACTGAAATCCTGCAGCGCCCGCAAGGTCCCCCTGCTCAAGAAAGCACATATACATGCCTGCCTGAAGTTTGCCAATGAACATCTGAATGATTCAGAGGACAACTGGGTGAAAGTGTTGTGGTCGGATGAGACCAAAATTGAGCTCTTTGGCATCAACTCAACTCGCCGTGTTTGGAGGAGGAATGCTGCCTATGACCCCAAGAACACCATCCCCACCGTCAAACATGGAGGTGGAAACATTATGCTTTGGGGGTGTTTTTCTGCTAAGGGGACAGAACAACTTCGCCGCATCAAAGGGGTGATGGACGGGGCCATGTACCGTCAAATCTTGGGTGAGAACCTCCTTCCCTCAGCCAAGGCATTGAAAATGGGTCGTGGATGGGTATTCCAGCATGACAATGACCCAAAACACACGGCCAAGGCAACAAAGGATTGGCCCAAGAAGCACATTAAGGTCCTGGAGTGGCCTAGCCAGTCTCCAGACCTTAATCCCATAGAAAATCTGTGGAGGGAGCTGAAGGTTTGAGTTGTCAAACGTCAGCCTCGAAACTTTAATGACTTGGAGAAGATCTGCAAAGAGGAGTGGGACAAAATCCCTCCTGAGATGTGTGCAAACCTGGTGGCCAACTACAAGAAATGTCTGACCTCTGCGATTGCCAACAAGGGTTTTGCCACCAAGTACTAAGTCATGTTTTGCAGAGGGGTCAAATACTTATTTCCCTAATTAAAATGCAAATCAATTTATAACATTGTTGACATGCGTTTTTCTGGATTTTGTTGTTATTCTGTCTCTCACTGTTCAAATAAACCTACCATTAAAATTATAGACTGATCATTTCTTTGTCAGTGGGTAAACGTACAAAATCAGCATGAGATCAAATACTTTTTTTACTCACTGTACGTCTGCCCCGTCTGTTCTATTATATGCCCGTCTAAAAGGATTTTTGTCTGGATTTCTGTCTATATTGTTGGCTTTGTGTCTGCCTGTCGGGTTGTTTCTGTTTGTCTTTCGTGGATATATATTTACTAAAGACCTTATCTTATCTTACACCTGTCAGCCATCATCAAAACCCATATCTGGCCAGAATCAATCAAAATTCAGTGCTCTGATGAAGTGACATTCTACTGCATCTATATTCTGGATTTTCTCATTTATGCATGCAAATGTGAAATGTATATTGCTGCAATCATTTATAGTTCACTAATTTGTTCCTGACTATTCCACTCACCTTTTTACCCACTCATCTAGTCATCCACTGCTTTATCTCCCCGCGCAACTCATTCTCCCACTCATTCATTCAATCACTCAAAATGCATTTGGTCCACTCGCACTCTCCTCCATCTCCTGAGACACACTCGCGCATTCCCCACACTCGTCATTCACACTAATAACCTACAATCACCCCACAACTCACCTAACATTCACCCAGTTACACCCACGGCATTCCATCTCAACCAAATGGAATGAATTCGCATTAAACAATATGCTCCATTAAATCATTATTGCAATACATGAACGATATAATTTTCGGCAGTAAATTTAAGACCACCATCGTCAGTACCCATCGTCATCCACTGCTGGATGAAGGATTTTCGATTAACACTGCAGTATAACAGTATGTCGACAATACATCGTACACTACATATATACCTATTGCATGTTTGTAAACAATTTGAAAGGTTACCACTTACAAATACTGTAACAGGGACTTGGCAAGGTTTTGAGACATCTACCCTGATGCACACCACACATTACTCCCACACACACACCTCCTCAGTCCCCACCTCATGCCACGCATCATGATGAGAGGTACACCCTCAATTAAATTATCTCTTCAAATCTTATTAAGTCAGTAATTATATAATCACCCCTTGACTCTCAAGAGGACAGCCCCCTGCCTCACCGATGGCTGGGATTTCCCTCTGTCCATTCTCCCTACATCTCTATAAAATGACAACTCGCATACCACTTCCACTCTCTTTCTCCTTAAGCTCAGATCATCACATCATAATCATGTCTTCTCCCTGCCTCCTAAATATCAGCTCACCATACAAAGCTTCAAGTTTATTTAACCCAGTGAAAACTTAAGAGACCAGAACAGTCTCATTTTTCAAGAGTCACCTGGGTCACAAAAATACAAAAGCAAAACAACTTAAGTGCAGCACTGCATGCTTTCCTTTGTGTCTCAAAAGGTATGCCTATTAAACTCTTGCAATGCATTCACTAATTTTCTCCAACAAGATCAGTTCACCATGTGCCAGTGCACATCCATCTATTTTGTCCAAGTCTCCAGAAAGTCCAATTTGACTCGGCAGTTCTAGATCGCTACAGTAACACTTTGTCTGTCTCCAGGAGATGGACACACAATGTCCCATCAATTTCGTCTCTCCAAACTCGTTCTTTAATAAAACATACGTACAGTATTATTTAATTGATACATCAACATTACATTTCAATGGAACATTTCAGGCTCCAAACCATAACACACAATCATCAATCCAGTCATCAGTTTCATTACTAGAAAATTATACGCGTGATTTCGAGGATGGTAACGATGTTGAAATACTAATTGTGGTCGTGAGGTCATGATGATAACGTGATTGATGGTCGTAGACTAATGGTGATGCTGCTTAGAGTGGAAGACTGGCAGTGCATGGTGCTAATACCGAATACAATACCGTATGTTTGTGGTAATGATGATACACCTTTCACTCCATCGTGCACAGACCAACCCCATCATCCCCCCAGCTTCCACGTGTTCGAGGCCCTCTCGTCTCAACGCGCAACAACGTGGACAACAAAGGCTTAAAAACAACACATTCACGCGGCGTTCGTCCCATCATTATTACTTGAGCGAAAACTCACCGCTGTTGGGTGACGAGGCGAGAGGAGGTTGTTGATTGAAAGGGGAATGAGGAGGGAGCGAGCAGGAGGCGGCTGCCGTCTGCCCGGCCGGGATCGGCGCGCCCTGGCCCCTCGGGGACCCGGCCCCGCCAGCCCGGCCCGACCCCCTTCATCCACGGATGTTGGTGATGATGTTGCTGATGATGTTGGTGATGATAATAATGAACTATGCTACTGCTGTTGATGATTACGATATGGTGATCATGTTACGTGATGGATACTACTTTAAATATTCTACTGATGATTGTTGAAGATGGATTCATAATTCACACGTCAGTCATGTTATTCCAGTGATGATGAACATGATATATACGATTCTGGCGAGATTTGTATTGTTCTACTGCTCATGCCGATGACTATGGGATGATGATGCGCTGATGAAATGATTGTTGTTTCTGTTGATTATTCCGCTGCTTATTTTTTGTATTTTACTGCTGCTGATGTAATGCTGCTGTGGTTATTAATGCTGATACCGATACTGCTGCTGATGACCACTGGGGAGACAAAGGCGGCCGGGCGTGGTGCTGGCCACCCACTCGTAGTGCCGTGATGTACTTCATAGGTGCTCGCTAACAGCACTTGCCCCAACAGTCTGTTAAGGCTACACGGGGGATCTTTGCTTTGTTTGCTGTTGATTCGCATTTTGAAGTGTCCACCGCAACAAACATGATTATGTAATTAACTTAATGCTATTTATTTATGATGAAAGTTTAGCTTTAGATGAAATCATAATTATGATAACAGTTGCCAATCAAGGATAGTGTAACAATGCTTTAGTTAATTATTCACACATTTTTTTGAAGATACTGACTCTTCACTCATTACTTTTCCTGTAACTTACAATGTACGGTATTATAATGTTTACTATCGTCTTAATCTGGCGCATGCATTAAGCCAATCAGTATTGGTTTAAAGGAAGATTATTGCGATGAACAAGGTACTCTTAATAATATTTTCGACTCCAGTACTAGAACTATTGTTGCGGCTTTCTATAGAGGTTACTTTCATCACCTCTTCCTGTTGACAACGCAAAGCATAACTAGCATACAAATCAAGACTTGCATACAAGTATCTGTTTTGACGAACAATTTCCATACCGGTCAACCCCTTATCAGTGCCCTACCTTATTACAGACCAATTCAGACCTTATTGGTCACCCCGCGCCCTTATAAATCTCAACGTTCATCCTACAAAGTCCCATCACAAGGGCGAAACATAGACAAATATAATTGCAATATCATTCAACTCTCTCATCACCACCAAGTGTGTATTTTAACGCTATAATTTGGGTCCCCTTCTACAAAGTGTAAATTCTCCCATCTCATCTCTTGCTAAAGCAATTGCTACGGCACACATTTAGCATGCAAGCTCACGTCCGCCTCTCGTGCTCCCTACGGGGGATATTCGAGCCCCCACGGTGCCAGGAGGGTCCCTAATTGTCTCTGGAACAATGCCCCCCCACAACCCTCGCCTCCCACACCTCATCACAATCTCAACATCATCATCGTCGTCACCTTCTCCCGCTGCTGCCTCCAGCTGTGTCCGGTATTACATTTGAAAGCCCAGCCACGGAGGTAGCCCGTCCTTCCAAAGTATATCCATTCAATTTTGATTTAAAGCTTTCGTGACTGCAGGGATTCATATTCTTGGTTCTTTCGGTAAAGTCACGTAGAAGGGAACACAATAAAACAATAAAAATATGAAACAATAAAATGCTCACGACGTTTCGACTGTAACACAAGCAATCATCATCAGGTGTGAAAACCACAGCAAGAAAATGTGAAAAAAGTGGCGGGTTTTTTTAACGTTAGCACCATGGAGAGCGATTTGGCAGTTATTCATTCATTGGTGGTACGGTCATGGAAATACGCTACGTGCACACACACACGCGTGCAGACTGAACACCGAACATATGCTAGGCCGATACGAACAAGTACTCCAATAGTCTGGTGTGTACACAACAAAGACCCGCGCAGACTTTTGGGGGAAGTTTTGTTATAGAGCGCCTATGAAGACCGGCACTGTGGCACACGAGGGGGTTGGGGTGGCCAGCAACCACGCCCGGCCGCCTTTGTCTCCCCCCCCTCCAGTGGCGATGTTCACTACACACCCCACCAGGTGCTCATTTGAGGCTGAGTTAACATAGGGGAGGCCCAGGACCGGTTCAGATAATCGTCACTGGGGTTTGGGCCGTGAGCTGGAATCGAACTGGGGTCCCCGGGTTCGTAGCGCAGCGCGCTAACCACTACATTACCTCTCCCCACACACACACACACGTGTACATACCCATTACGATGGCATACAATGCATTTTACACGCCAACACTCAATGTGTAAACGCGTGTATGCACACCCACGTACACTCATAGGGCACCGTACTTGTACACACGTACCACGTGCAAAGGCACTTAAATGCGACAGGGCTTGCGTGTACACACACGTACCGGTGTGTACACGTGCGTCTACACAACCGACGAGTGAACACACGCCAGCGAATGTCCCCTTCTACCTTCAGCCCTACTGCTGGATCAAGTGTCGTTAGCGAGCACCTATTGACAACGCGCGCACACGCATACACTGACGTAGCAGGAGTGAATAACATCTACAACACACACACAAATAATACCACGCACAAACGAGATTTACATTAGTAAAGGCGCATACACACGCATATACGTATATAAACACCATTGTTACATAATTACAGAGGCACCGAAAACAATTATACAGACATCCTCCTCCCCTAGCATCGTCATCATCAGCCACCCCCCTGCCTTGCCTGCCTCCCCCGCCGGCTCCACGACGCCTCCTCTGGGCGACCAAAACCACAAATTCAGCTCCCCCACCCCCCAACCCCGGGCATCTCAACTCCCACCACCACCACCGCCACCCTCCCCCACCTATACACGAGCGATCATCAGCACATTATCATCAGCAACGGCAGCAGGATCATCATCAGCAGCAGCAGCGTTCCCTGCCCGCTCCACAGCCAATGGTTTCTGATGCCCCCGTCCATCAGACTCCCTTTGCTCAGGATAGGGGCCCGCGGGGAAGGAGAAACACAAACAGCAGCTGCCCGCGGAGGCTCCATCAGCCCCCCGGCGGTGGTGAGAGCCCCTCCATCTTGCCCTGCTCCCCGAGAGAGCTGGGGGAGGAGGGGAGATGGAGGGAGGTGCCTCCACTCTGTCGTCCATCCTCCTGCCTGCATCTGCTTCCTCCTCCTCCACCACTCGTTTCCACCGCGGGGTGACACGGGAGGAGCCTCGCTCTGCTCCGCCCTGCTGCTTTGCTCCCTGTTCACACTTCACGCATCACATCACGGGGGGGACGCAAAAAAAGTGGTCGAGAAGATTCTTATATTTGCAGGTTGATTGGACGGTCCGCGGTCTGGCACGGATGGAGGGAGCTTGAACGAAGAGTGAATGTTCGGTTGGAAGTCAGGGTTTGTTTTGTTGTTGCAGGTGTTTGAATTGGCCGCGTGTGATGATTGAAAGCAAAGTCTGAAATATGCAAAGACATCTGGGGGGGGTGGGGAAACAATCAGAAAAAAGTTACACATCTAGAGGGAAAATCAGGATTTCGAAAGACAGCTGTACGAACGAGAAAAATAACACGAATGACGGAAAAAAATCAAATATTCAGAGACGACTAGAAATTGTGGGGGAATTTTTTTGAAGTCCATATTCACCACAGCGCGTGCTGTGAAAGACTGCTGGGGAGTTATTCTTCCAAGAACGCTGGAACTTCGATAGACCGAGAGCATGCACTGTACACCTTAAAAGGGACCATTTTGAGAAGTGACCTTCTTCAAGCCTGCTCATTGCTCACCATGTTGTCGGGCCGCCGATTTGTAACCTCCCCGTTAACCTTACGACACGCAACGTGTATGGGTGCGATTTGACGGCTGTGCAGAAGCATTTGAACGTTCCTTTTCCATGTGTCGTTTTCTCTACTCAGGTCTCCTGTCACAGTAATGGGACAAGGATTTGCATGGCCAAACTTCATAATCAGGGTCTTCATTAGAAGGTCTGGATTTGTTTTTTGGGTCGTTTAAATTATACCGAGTTTAGTTTTTAGGATTGCAAGCTCAAATACAGGTTTCGGGTCAACTGAACCGATATTTCCTTGGTACACTCAAATACCTGTTGCTTTGTGTAAAGTCAATTGTGCTATTTAAATGCATAGATTTGGCTCAGAAATGTGGAATTTTCACCACTGCTCAATGAAGCCATATGGCGACCACCACCACGATACTTGAGCAAATGAGATGTACACATTTACTTTGTTATAAACACTATTATCCTCAAATTATATATAATATGCATATACTGTGTATTAAACTTTACTTGCAATCAGGTGACAGCTCACCTACACAAAACATAAATTACAACTTGGAATTGTGCAGGTGTTAAATAATGCACACGGTCCACTCACTGCCTTAGCATTGCCATGCAATAGTTTAACAGACACGCTTAAGATGGTTTAATTTTTTTGTATAATTTTTTAATCATGCTTGGCAGGACTTTGTGCGAGAGACAACAGGGAGTCATGTTTCACATACAATCAATGTTACTGCAGCATGATTGTTTCATTCAGTTATTTGAACACATGTTAACAAAAAAGCAGCACTACAGGGACAGATTTCTGCAACAGCTCATACAGTGTGTCGCCGACTAACAATTCAACTTAACAGCATGACAATTCATTATTTACTTGTATGCACATAACTGCTAAATGTAGTGCCTACATATATATTTGTTTATTCTTGTAGTCGGCATAAATGATGACATCTAACAATGAAAATAAAGAACATCTGCTTTCATACAGCATGACAAGCCATGCAACGACTATATGAGCACAATCAAATACAGTTTTTTGAATGCCCTGCAATAAAAAATGCAAACCTTTTTACGATGGAAAGTACATATATTTTTTGCCGAGACTGTTGAAATGACTGCTGTTTCAAACACATTGGCATCTTTCTGCTCTTCGCAACTTTGTGTTGAGTTAATGGAGGAAAACCTGTGTGTTGGTGAATGTGGGCTGCACGGGAAGAGAAGGCACCGTTACCCCGAGCTCAACCCTTGACGCGTTTCCCAAGTCACACGTAGGTCCTACGACAGACATCCTCCGACACAGTTGTGGCCCTCAGCCCACCCTTGTCCCCCACTTCACCCCCAGCCGTAACCCAGAGGGAGGGTGGCTCCATAGGACCGAGGCTGCTCCTTTTTCTGGTTTCTTCGCTTCCCCCTCTTCTTTACTTGCTTTGATCTCCGACCCCCTGACCGATAACATTCTCCTGCAGCGAACCGCACGCAAACGGCAATGTAAATCACTTCAAAGCTCTACTGACTAAATACAGTTAAAGCAATTATGTGCTTTACAAATACAAAATCCTTGCATGAAAGAGATGCACATTTGTTCGAGAATGCTTTGTTTCTTCAATAACCTCATTTTGTTTGGAAGACCAATAACCAAATGGTGATATTTCCATGAATGCAAATATTCCTCCTTAAAATGGGCACAATTGAACCATATTGCCCACAACCCACCACTAAATTCGAAACGCTGCTTGTCGTTTACCGGAGCGTCCCCTCGGGTGGCGAATGGGGGGCCCCGCCTGCTTTGGTTGCGCAGAGGCAGCGCCGACATCTCAGAAGACACGTGCCGCTTGTCCAGCACGACGCCCTGCTCCGCCTCACTTGTGTGGCGCCTCGCCAGATGGCTCACCACCTGCCACAAAACGCAGGCATCACCAACACACACGTCTCAATTTAGCCACTCCGGAATTAAGATTCGATTAAAGAATCTCTTCTTGTCTCACTTTTTGGTATCATTAGTAATGTTTGTTTTATTTTGCAGAGCTTGTTCATTCAGTGCATTAGTTTTAAATAAACCATACAATTAACAAATGACATAAATTGGAAAACATCCATTCCTATATATATGATTTAACCTAAACAATTTATATGAATCAATAAATCCACGCATTATTACACTTGTATTCATTACTCGTACAGCGTGGGAACCCACTGGGGCCACTATTCCTGGGCCATTCGGGTTCTGGCAGAGTCTGGATGCAATTGTCATGGAAATGCGGTATTACTGCTGGACATTGTAGAAAGAGGTATTAACATGCCTGAGCCCGCTGATTTGCCTGGTAGGCGCACAAGGAGCAGGCGAAGGGGCGCTCGAAGCGGTGTGTGAGCAGGTGGTTGCGCAGGGCCGCCGGCCAGCGGAAGGTGCGGCGGCATTGCGGGCACACGTGTGGCCGGACCTCGGCGTGCTTGCGCATGTGGCTGCCCAGCAGGTAGCGCGTCTTGAAGGCCTTGCCGCAATGCTCGCACACAAAAGTGCGGCCCTCCTGGTGCCGTGTGGCCTCGTGTGTGCGCAGGGCGTCGCTGCGGTTCGTGGCGTACTCGCACTTCTCACACCGGTATGGCTTCTCCCCTGGCAGAGGTCAGCGACACACATGGGTGTTAACGCAGATAGAGTCAGATAGTAAGTGTGCACAAACCGTATTATGAAAGCATAATATCTGGTTCATCTTTCATCTGGCATTTGAGGTTAATTTAATCACAAAAGTGAAACTTTCAATCTTTCAACAGGAAAGCCTCACCGAATCCTTAATACACTTTTTGCATTGGCATCCTTGAATTTATAGACCAATAACTTTGTAT